GGGGGTAAGAGGAGCCCCCTGGAGGTAATAGTCAGTACTACAGGGGGTAAGAGGAGCCCCCTGGAGGTAATAGTCAGTACTACAGGGGGTAAGAGGAGCCCCCTGGAGGTAATAGTCAGTACTACAGGAGGTAAGAGAAGCCCCCTGGAGGTAACAGTCAGTACTACAGGGGGTAAGAGGAGCCCCCTGGAGGTAATAGTTAGTACTACAGGGGGTAAGAGGAGCCCCTGGAGGTAATAACAGCCATCACCAATATTATAATAAATCCATGCACCGCACCAATGTTACTGGTTACACGTCGCGTGTAAATAACATGGTCTGACAATCCCTCCCCCTGCACGAGAACTCTCCTCTCATCATGACTTCCGCTGTAGTCTGTTCATTGCTGTTCACCCGCTGTCACATACTCCATGGCCTGATGATGGGACACCCCCCTCCCCCTGTCCCTTCGTGTTTATATTTATGGTGTTGTTGTTTACAGCAGAGTCTGAGGACATTTAAGGACCACAGACCCTTTCCTGGGCTTGAACAGTTTGATTCTCTGATCTGTTATTGCGGAATTGACAATTCTGTAAAGATTTCTGAGACGACACACAAAGAAATCTGAACAAATCTGTTTTTAACAGAAAAGAAACTGAAGCCTCGTCTTTCCCCAAAAATAAGAGATTAATGCACGTCCTGCGGGAGTCGGAATGTGCTCGGAGGGGAGTGTTTTCTGAGGGGGAGGAGCTTAGGGGAGATGCAGAAGCACAGAGACATCTGTTAGACTCAGAGCGGGATCAGAGGAGCTGCTCTGTCAGAGGTGAGACCAGCTGTTTCTGTAACTGTTATTATTATTATTATTATTATTATTATCATTATTATTATTATTATTATCATCATTATTATTATTATTATTATTATTATTATTATTATTATTATCATTATTATTATTATTATTATTATCATCATTATTATTATTATTATTATTATTATCATTATTATTATTATTATTATTATTATTATCATTATTATTATTATTATTATTATCATAATTATTATTATTATCATTATGATTATTATTATTATTATCATAATTATTATTATTATCATTATGATTATTATGATCATGTTTTAAAAGTAAAAGTGGGTGATTTTTAATAATTGATGCGTTTTTCAAACAAAAAAGTGATGATCTTTTCAAAACAGTTGTTTCTGTCGTTTGTTTGTGCCACGTATGGTCTGCTGTGGTATGGTGTGGCATGGTGTGGTATGGTATGGTATGGTCTGGTCTGGTGTGGTATGGTATGGTATGGTCTGGTCTGGTGTGGTATGGTCTGGTCTGGTGTGGTCTGGTCTGGCGTGGTATGGTATGGTATGGTCTGGTATGGTATGGTATGGTCTGGTATGGTATGGTCTGGTCTGGTGTGGTATGGTCTGGTGTGGTATGGTATGGACCAGGACCTAAACTTGTTAAAATAAACTTTTATTTTAAGAATCTCACATTTCTGCAAAAACCGTGTTTTACAGATTTTTTAAAAACACAGTTTTAGTGTTTGAGCCGTCGTCACGGTCACTGGGCTGGAAGAGGGGACCTTTAATATTTAATATCCTTAATGCAAACCTGACGGGAGGGGGGAGAGAGGAGGAGAGAGAGGGGCAGAGGGGGGAGAGAGGAGGAGAGAGAGGAGAGGAGGAGAGAGATGGGAGAGGAGCGAGAGGAGAGAGGAGGAGAGAGAGGGGCAGAGGGGGGAGAGAGGAGAGGAGGAGAGAGATGGGAGAGGAGCGAGAGGAGAGAGGAGGAGAGAGAGGGGCAGAGGGGGGAGAGAGGAGAGGAGGAGAGAGAGGGGAAGAGGGGAGATGAGCGAGAGGAGAGAGGAGGAGAGAGAGGGGCAGAGGGGGGAGAGAGGAGGAGAGGAGGAGAGAGAGGGGAGAGGAGCGAGAGGAGAGAGGGGGGCAGAGGGGAGATGAGCGAGAGGAGAGAGGAGAGAGAGAGAGGAGCGAGAGGAGAGAGAGAGGAGAGAGGGGGGCAGAGGGGGGAGAGAGGAGGAGAGAGAGGGGAGAGGAGCGAGAGGAGAGAGAGGGGAAGAGGGGAGATGAGCGAGAGGAGAGAGGAGAGAGAGAGAGGAGCGAGAGGAGAGAGAGAGGAGAGAGGGGGGCAGAGGGGGGAGAGAGGAGGAGAGAGAGGAGAGGAGGAGAGAGAGGGGAAGAGGGGAGAGGAGAGAGGGGGGCAGAGGGGGGAGAGAGGAGGAGGAGAGAGAGAGGGGAGAGGAGGAGAGAGAGGGGCAGAAGGGGGAGAGAGGAGGAGAGGAGGAGAGAGAGGGGAGAGGAGCGAGAGGAGAGAGAGGAGAGAAGAGAGGGGAGAGGGGAGAGAGAGAGGAGGGAGAGGAGAGAGAGAGGAGAGGAGGAGAGAGAGGGGAAGAGGAGTGAGAGGAGAGAAGAGAGAGATAGGAGAGAGAGAGGAGCGAGAGGAGAGAGAGAGGAGAGAGAGACAGGAGCAAGAGGAGAGAGGAGAGAAGAGAGAGAGAGAAGAGAAGAGACAAACACACACAAATGCACACAAACACACTTGCACATTCACACAGATGCACACACATAGAAAGACATAGACAGACACATACACACAAACACACACACAGACACACACACAGAGACACAGACACACACACATGCACACAAACTCACACACAGACACACACACAGAGACACACACACAGACACAGACACACACACACAGACACACACACAGCTGGATGTAGTGTGTGTCTCACCATAAACACCAAACACCATGTTCCACATTCATTGAATCCAAAAACACAAACTTTCCATAAACTGAGGAACAACAACAGATTAAAGATGTTTACCGCCGCACAACATGAGTGCCACACTTATACAGGGCAAACCTTTGAGAGGTGGCGCCACACAGTGGCAGGAGGCCGCACCCACAGAGACACATGTATTTAAAGTACTGTATTTAAACTTTTTAAAGGCGATGTTTGTATATTTCTGACCACATGACCTTCTAGTATTTATATATATTTATTAAACTATGAAATCCTTTGTTATCGTGGAGACATGTGTAGAACAGCCCCTGACCTTGGAATCAGTGCCATAAGATTTACAGGTGGGAGGGGCCTCAGCTGTCTATCAAGGCTGAGAATTCATTGCGTCCAATCAGGAAGCTGAGGGGGCGGGTCTGACTTTCACTTTTGAGAAATGTCTCTCCATCTTCAGGAGCAGTAAAGTTAATAATTCACTTCAGTCTGAGTCTGAGAGAAGATCCTCCACTAACACTAACCCTCAGAGGAGATCCACATCCTCAATGAGCTGTGATGTTACAGTAAAGCCCCGTAGAGCGCAGACCTCCACCAAGAGCTGCAGACTTTAGATTATCCCTCATTCACCCCTAACCCACTCTCACCCACATGGGACTGTGTCAGTTTCTTCAGAGTAAAGTGTCCCAATGAACACATGACTAAGTCATGTGACTGTTGTTCATAAACACTGTTGTCAGGACTTATTATTCTGAGACAGTTTCATCGACACGAAGACTTGCTTTTGAGGAATTCACTTTTCATTTTGAGAAAGTGACGTTTGCAGGTTACCCACGAGGTTTTGCAGTTTGCACTAATTGTTCTGAGAAATGCACAAACAAATGTGAAGAGTGAGAAAAACTGAAAACACCAATAATTAGAGCGTAAACTAAAGTGTGAAAACTCCTGCGAGCTTTGTCTGTGTCTCGATACAAACATTGAACATTTGTAAAATGTGTTTCCTGTGCAGGTTTTTAAATAAATAGTTCAATAAAAAATAACATGAGACTGAGGCGTAGAAAGACACACAGACACACACACACACGCACACAGACACACACACAGACACACAGACACACACACAGACAGACACACAGACACACACACAGACAGACACACACACACACACACACACACACACAGACAGACACACAGACAGACACAGACACACACACACACACAGACAGACACACACACAGACACACACACAGACAGACACACACACAGACACACACACACACACACAGACACACACACACACACAGACAGGCAGACAGACACACACACAGACAGACACACGGACACACACACAGACAGAGACAGACAGACACACACACAGACAGACACACACATTTTTGACAATTTCTTGAGTCCTATTCCTCACATATTGTCCCATCTCCCACCCCCTCCCGTCCCCGCCCCGTCCCCGCCCCGTCCCCGCCCCGGCCCCCACCCCTGCCCCCACCCCTGCCCCCACCCCTGCCCCCACCCCTGCCCCGGCCCCCGCCTACTCTCTGCTAATGAAATGGACTCTTGGTGACACACTCTCGCCGTTATGCTAATGTGGTCCATCTGCAGATTACAGGAGACAGGTCCCAAAGGATCCTCTGACAATCTCACAACTACTCTTCCCGACAGTGAAGGGGACGGAGGGGACGAGGGGGACGGAGAGGACGAATGGGCAAAGGAGACTGAAGGGACCAAGGCGACGGAGGGGACGAGGCAGAGACCTCCAGGTTCTGGTCTTGGCCTTGTTCTTGGTCCAAGCGTCTGAGTGTCCAAAATAGTTTAGCAGGATATAATTCTTCTGTAATGCGTTTAATACTGATAAAGAAGCCATTTCAAACAGATTGCATCTATCGCATGTTTTAACTACTCTTGGTCTTGGTCTCGGTCTTGGTCCTGGTCTCGGTCTTGTTCTGGTCTTGGTCTTGGTCCTCTTGCAGAAACAACCACAGGATAGCTGTTTTTGTTTTAACCCTGAGTCCTTTACAGAATGGTTCAGTTTAATGTTAAAGAGGATTTCAGACTAGATTGAAAGACTAAAAACATGATCCACCAAATGTCTGCAGAAACCATTAAAGGGTTGGTGTGTAATATTTCTAAATATAATAATAATAATAATAATAATAATAATAACTGATTCCTGTAGTTCACTCTGGTGTGGACTTCCTGTGACAGTGGTGTGTTTCCTGCGTCTGTCTGAGGATGTGGGTTCTACTCCTGTGTCTGGGGGGAGCGTGGGCCGCCGCCGCCGCCCCCGTCACCACGGCAACAACGACACAAGCCCCGCCCACTCAGGACCACAGCACACAGCTCGTGGTTCGTATTGGACAATGTTTAAGCTGCGTTACCTAACTTTAACTTTTCAGTAATATATGCTTTTGTTTTGTTTCTGTACTTTTACTTTATTATTATACTCTCCCTGGTCTCTCTCTGGTCTCTCTCTGGTCTCTCTCTGGTCTCTCTCTGGTCTCTCTCTGGTCTCTCCCTGGTCTCTCTCTGGTCTCTCCCTGGTCTCTCTCTGGTCTCTCTCTGGTCTCTCTCTGGTCTCTCTCTGGTCTCTCCCTGGTCTCTCTCTGGTCTCTCTCTGGTCTCTTTTTGCCCTCTCTGGTCTGTCTCTGGTCTCTCTCTGGTCCCAGGACTGGCTGCTGAAGTATGGGTACCTGCCGGCCCCGGACTCCTCCACGGGGCAGCTCCAGGCCTGGACCACAGTCACCAGTGCTGTCCGCTCCATGCAGAGGTTCGCTGGGATCAACGAGACCGGAGTCCTGGGTGAGTCTGGGTGAGTCCTGGGTGAGTCTGGGTGGGTCCTGGGTGAGTCCTGGGTGAGTCCTGGGTGAGTCCTGGGTGAGTCTGGGTGGGTCTGGGTGAGTCCAGGGTGAGTCTGGGTGGGTCTGGGTGAGTCTGGGTGGGTCTGGGTCGGTCTGGGTGGGTCTGGGTAAGTCCTGGGTGAGTCTGGGTGGGTCTGGGTGAGTCTGGGTGGGTCTGGGTCGGTCTGGGTGGGTCTGGGTAAGTCCTGGGTGGGTCTGGGTGGGTTTGGGTGGGTCTGGGTAAGTCCTGGGTGGGTCTGGGTGAGTCCTGGGTGAGTCTGGGTGGGTCTGGGTGAGTCTGGGTGGGTCTGGGTCGGTCTGGGTGGGTCTGGGTAAGTCCTGGGTGGGTCTGGGTGGGTTTGGGTGGGTCTGGGTAAGTCCTGGGTGGGTCTGGGTGAGGACAGCGCCCCCTGGAGGACAGTGTGGATAAAGTGTTGTTTGTTCAGACGAGGAGACTCTGGCTCTGATGGAGACTCGTCGCTGCTCTCTGCCGGACCAGGAGGAGCCTCCAGGGGGTGCCACACTCCTCAGACTGAGGAGCAGGAGGAGCAGGAGCAGGAGAAGCGAGGCGGGGGCCACGTGGAGAGGGTCCAACATCAACTGGAGGTTTGCAAAACAAAACCAGTTTTACAGAGAATAAAAAGTTTCAGATTCTTCTTTTTGTGTCAAAGTGACCGCAGCATCTTCTGTCGTCACCGCACATGGGAAAATATTATATAATACTAAAGCTAATGGAGCCCAGAACCTTCTGGCTGAGCAGCAGTGAGGGCATTGAACCCAGTGCGGGAGGTGAAGAAGAAACAGTTTATTGTGTTTTCTCAGGCTGCAGTCGTACCCGCCCTCTCTGCCCCGGGACACTGTGCGCTCTCTGGTCTACTATGCCCTGAGGGTCTGGGCCCAGCCCACCCCCCTGGACTTCCATGAGGTGAGACCAAAGACCCCCGAGTGAGACCAAAGACCCCCGAGGGTGGACTGGACTGACCCAGTCCAGACCCAATCTTCTTTCTTTTTATTGTTGTATTGTTTGATGCCTTCTACTGATTTTTCATCTTTCTGTTCTGTTTTAAACCCCTTTGAAAAGCCTAACCAGGGACGGGGGCTGCAAATTAGCCTATGGCTAGACGCCTTATGTACATAACATCGGCCACTGAGCTGGCAATGTTTTCTTGTACTGTCCCTGTCAAATAAACAAATAAAAAAATAAAAAAAACATAAAAAAATGAGGGGGTGATTGAGTGTGACATCACCACAGAGTTAGCTTTAGGCTGCGGTCACATGCACAACCTAAAGCCCGGTTACAGTGGCCAGGGCCCACTTCGCCATTAGATCCGGGCTTTAGGTCCCATGGGACCGCGGCAAGTGAGCCAGGGCACGGTTGTAAGGCCCAGATGAGGGGGGTCAGTGTGGCGGGTGGTGGGGAGTGGGGGTGAGGTGTGGTGGGGACTTGATTTTGTGCGTCACATTACGTCTTCCTGTGACGCACATTTTCACACACGTCTCTGAACTTTTGTATTCTCCGTTTGTGTCAAATGCAATATGAGCAAAAGAGCAATATGGACAAGTGTGAGATGTGTCTTTCCCTAAACATCTGTGCTGAGCTGTTAGCTACAGTAGTTGTTAGCTACAGTAGAGTAGTTGTTAGCTACAGTAGTTGTTAGCTACAGTAGTTGTTAGCTACAGTAGCTGTTAGCTACAGTAGTTGTTAGCTACAGTAGTTGTTAGCTACAGTAGTTGTTAGCAACAGTAGTTGTTAGCTACAGTAGTTGTTAGCTACAGTAGTTGTTAGCTACAGTAGTTGTTAGCTACAGTAGTTGTTAGCTACAGTAGTTGTTAGCTACAGTAGTTGTTAGCTACAGTAGTTGTTAGCTACAGTAGTTGTTAGCTACAGTAGCTGTTAGCTACAGTACAGTAGTTGTTAGCTACAGTAGCTGTTAGCTACAGTAGTTGTTAGCTACAGTAGTTGTTAGCTACAGTAGTTGTTAGCTACAGTAGTTGTTAGCTACAGTAGTTGTTAGCTACAGTAGTTGTTAGCTACAGTAGTTGTTAGCTACAGTAGTTGTTAGCTACAGTAGTTGTTAGCTACAGTAGTTGTTAGCTACAGTAGTTGTTAGCTACAGTAGTTGTTAGCTACAGTAGTTGTTAGCTACAGTAGTTGTTAGCTACAGTAGTTGTTAGCTACAGTAGTTGTTAGCTACAGTAGCAGAATGTAAACAGGAAGAAAAACAGAAGTTAGTACTAGGCTCGGGCCTAATAATAATAATAATAATAATAATAATAATAATAATAATACCTTTTTTTTATAGTGCACCTTACAGTTCCAGGAAACCTCAAAGTGCTACAGATGAAAATACAAAACTCCTCTGGTCCCTCAGGTTGGTCTTGGGGCCACAGACCTCCAGGTCGACTTCCACCACGGTTACCACGGAGACGACTACCCCTTTGATGGCGTGGGCGGCGCCGTAGGCCACGCCTTCTTCCCCTCGGACCCACTGAGGGCTGGGGGGGTGCACCTGGACTCAGAGGAGGAGTGGGCCTTCAGGCAGACAGGTGACCCCCCGAGACCCAGTCCCAGACTCAGACTCAGACTCAGACTTAGACCCAGACCCTGACCCCGACCCAGACCCTGACCCAGACCCAGACCCAGACCCTGACCCATACAAACTGTCCTCTCTGGTCCCTGCAGCTGCAGAGGGCACAGACCTGTTCACGGTCCTGCTGCATGAGTTGGGACACGCCCTGGGCCTCTCCCACTCCTCGTCCCGACACTCTGTGATGAGGCCCTACTACCAGGGGCCGGCCGGGGACCCCCTGCACTACCGCCTGGGGCCCTCAGACCTGGAGAGCATCACACAGCTCTATGGTAAGGACAGTTCCTGTACTTTATGGACCCTTATGGACGCCCTGATATAAGCTGCAGATTTTCATGTTTAATAAATCTGTTTTCACTGGTCACATGTTTTATTTAACTTTATTTAACCAGAAAAGTCCAATCGAGAGTCCTCAGAGTCCAATGATGTGTGCTCCAATCATTCCCCTTCTTCTACTTTCACAACAACCCAGTGCCTTTGATAAGTTTTTAGTTTGGAAAGCTAAACCTAATGTAAAACGAAATAATTGCACATTTAGAGGGCACAACATAAACAAATAAACAGGTCACATTTTCTATGTTGTTACAGGGAAGAGACGGCATCAGCAGAGCACTGACTCTGACCTGGACTCCTCCCATCAGCTCCGACACAAGCCTCACCCTCACCCCCCCCACCCTCACCCTCACCCCCACCACAGGGAGCACAATGATCGCTGCAACACCTCCTTTGACGCCGTGGCCAAGATCAGGGGCGAGACATTCTTCTTCAAAGGTTTGTTCCTGTGATAAACAGCTGTGATCGTCTACATCCGACAGGGCAGGTGTGGCTGCAGGTGCGGCTGCAGCCACACCTGCAGCCACACCTGCAGCCACACCTGCAGCCGGCTTCCAACCAAGCAGGAGCACACCACACCCCACCCCTCTTCAGGTCTTTGGGTCTTCGGGTCTTCAGATTTTCAGATTTTCAGGTAGAGCCTGGTCTGACCGGTCTTCAGGTCTTCAGGTAGAGTCTGGTCTGACCGGTCTTCAGGTCTTCAGGTCTTCAGGTAGAGTCTGGTCTGACCGGTCTTCGTGCAGAGTTTTGTTGTAGAATGTTTACTCCTTTTCAAAGACTGTGAAGTTTCTGGTATTGGCAGTAACTGGACCTTATACAGAGACTACAGAGAGGAGAGGAGTGGGCCATAATTCCACTGACCAAATCAACAGCCTGATCCACTAAACTAAAGACACAGACCTTCTCCTGAAAACCACAAACTGAACTTCTCTAAATGGTTCTCACTGTGGACCTCAGACCCCAGACCCTCAGACCTCAGACCTGAGAACCTCAGACCTGAGACCCTCAGACCTGAGACCCTCAGACCCTCAGATCTCAGACCCTCAGACCTCAGACCCTTTGACCTCAGACCCTCAGACCCTCAGACCCTCAGACTCTCAGACCTCAGACCCTCAGACCCTCAGACTCTCAGACCTCAGACCCTCAGACCCTCAGACCCTCAGACCCTCAGACCCTCAGACTCTCAGACCTCAGACCCTCAGACCCTCAGACCCTCAGACTCTCAGACCTCAGACCTCAGACCCTCAGACCCTCAGACTCTCAGACCTCAGACCCTCAGACCCTCAGACCGTCAGACTCTCAGACCCTAAGACCCTCAGACCCCAGACCCACAGACCTCAGACTTAAGACCCTCAGACCACTGTGTTTGTGATGTTCAGGGCTGAGCATGTGGCGTGTGAGCAGCTCTGGTCTGGTCTCGTCCCGGGCGGCCGCGGTCCGGAGGATGTGGAGGTCTCTGCCTCTGGACCTGAGGCTGAGTGCGGTCCTGGAGAGGCCTTCGGACCACGCCATCCTCTTCATCAGCGGTAACACACCTCACACTGATTCACCTGGTCCTGGATCAAGCTATCTTACCTCACACTCTGAGCAGTCCTCTGTCTGTGTGTGTTTCTGTGCATGAAAGAAGAGATCATTTTGTCAATAAGTCCTCAGAACCGCTCAGGAGAAACAAAAACAATGGGAATAGAACTGCTTTTCTCTTGTTTGGTCATTATTTTGACAAAAATGACAAAGTCTGGGATCGTGACACAGACAGAAGTTTTCTTGTCGATGGTCGAGACGAGACACGAACAGAATCACAGAATCCAAGTGATGTCACAGCGTAGACCGACCAATCAGCAGCTGCCACGAGCCCACCATAGACCGACCAATCAGCAGCTGCCACGAGCCCAGCATAGACCGACCAATCAGCAGCTGCCACGAGCCCACCATAGACCGACCAATCAGCAGCTGCCACGAGCCCAGGGGCTTCGGCTTCAGAGAAACCAAAACAAGTGGAGAGTACCAGAGCAGGTGTCTTAATGAAGACTTCAGCTTCAACCACAGCTGCTTCAAAGTGTCATGAAACAAACAACACATTATAGACAATAAATGATGAATAAGGCCCTTTGCTCATGACAAAAAAACAATAGATTTTAGTGAGTCCCATGTTTCGCTCAGGTCGGGTTTTGGAACAAAGAACCTCCTTAGACTCTGAGGAGCACAGGGACCGGCCTCCTGCTGGGACTCTGAGGAGCACAGGGACTGGCCTCCAGCTGGGACTCTGAAGAGCACAGGGACTGGCCTCCTGCTGGGACTCTGAGGAGCACAGGGACTGGCCTCCTGCTGGGACTCTGAGGAGCACAGGGACTGGCCTCCTGCTGGGACTCTGAGGAGCACAGGGACTGGGCTCCTGCTGGGACTCTGAGGAGCACAGGGACTGGGCTCCTGCTGGGACTCTGAGGAGCACAGGGACTGGACTCCTGCTGGGACTCTGAGGAGCACAGGGACTGGCCTCCTGCTGGGACTCTGAGGAGCACAGGGACTGGCCTCCTGCTGGGACTCTGAGGAGCACAGGGACTGGGCTCCTGCTGGGACTCTGAGGAGCACAGGGACTGGAGAAGTACTTTGAGTGGCCTTGTGTATGAACTGTGCTACACAAATAAACTTGCCAAATAAGACTCTGTGTCTGTCAGGTTCACAGGTGTGGCTCTTCCGGGACCTGTCGCTGCAGGACGGATTCCCCGCTCCTCTCTCCTCCCTCCACTCAGAGCTCAGGGAGGAGCAGGGGGAGGAGCAGGGGGAGCAGGGGGAGAGGCCAGGGCTGAGGTGGGACCCCCATCAGGGCCTCAGCTGGGGGAACACAGGAGCAGAGACCCCGGCAGCTGACGGAGAGTGGACCCGTCTGTTGGAGTGCGGGGTCAGCGGCATCACCACAGACTCTCAGGGTCAGTGCGGTCTCTGAGGATAAGTTTATATAAAAATATAAATAAATAGTATAATAATCAGTCTTTCAATTAGACTGAGGAGTTTGTCCTCAGGGGAAGTCAGGCCTGGTGCAGAAGTAAAGGTTGTCGTTCCATCTTGGTAATATTTGAAATAGTAAATAATACATTGACATTTCAGAAAACAGCATCAGAGAGAGAACTACCCCATCTAGTGGCAGCAGAGGGCTTCACAACATTAGATTTATAGAAAGTGCTCTAAAGCAGTTTGTTCTATGACATTTTCAGGAAGACTTTTCCACCGTAAAGTTTGTTTGTTTTAGACATTGTTAGGGTTAGAAGCAGGAATAATAATGGGTTCATAGTGCTGTCTCTCTCTGGTCTCTCTCTGGTCTCTCTCTGGCCTCTCTCTGGTCTCTCTCTGGTCTCTCTCTGGTCTCTCTCTGGTCTCTCTCTGGTCTCTCCCTCTGGTCTCCCTCTGGTCTCTCTCTGGTCTCCCTCTGGTCTCTCTCTGGTCTCTCTCTGGTCTCCCTCTGGTCTCCCTCTGGTCTTTCTCTGGTCTCTCTCTGGTCTCTCTCTGGTCTCCCTCTTCTCTCTCTCTGGTCTCCCTTTGGTCTCCCTCTTCTCTCCCTCTTCTCTCTCTCTGGTCTCTCTCTGGTCTCTCTCTGGTCTCCCTCTGGTATCTCCCCCTGTCCTGTTGCTGCCTAAACCAATGCCACCTCCTCATGTTTATCCCTGCCTCCACCAGCAGGGGGCGACATACATGTATAGTTTCCTCTGTATCATGTGCTTCCTCCTCTCTACAGGAGCTGTCTATCTGTTCCACGGCGCCTCCTACTGGAAGTTCCCGTCGCCTGGTTCTTCTCCGGAGGTGGGATTCCCTCGCTCCATCGGCGCAGACTGGCTGGACTGTCCTGACCCTGGGACTCCCTCTGCAGCCCTGCCTCTGCCCACGCCTCCAGCAGGGGGCAGACACGAGCTGAGGGAGGGCAGGGGCCAGGGCGGGGGCCAGGGCAGGGAGCGAGGAGGACCATGGGGCAGAGATGACAAAGACTGGACTCACTGCTGGTGTCAGAGCCGAGCGACAGACTGGACTGGAGAGACCTTGATCCTGGTTTGGACTTTTGTGATGTCGTTTATCGTCATTGAAGAAACCATGAACTAAAGTCATATAAAGTTAGGCTCATTCCCACTGAGCAAAAACCTGGGAATTTTGGACACAATGAACCAAAACTGGAGAAGGAAGAGGAAGAAATGCTAAAACTGGCACTTTTAAGAATTATGATTCAATTCAGATAAGAGAAAGTTTTGTCTCTCTCTGGTCTCTCTCTGGTCTCTCTCTGGTTTCTCTCTGGTTTCTCTCTGGTCTCTCTCTGGTCTCTCTCTGATCTCTCTCTGGTCCCTCTCTCTGGTCTCTCTCTGGTCTCTCTCTGGTCTCTCTCTGGTCTCTCCAGAACAACACAGCATCGTTTCCCACTGTTGTCTCAGGTGGACGTTATACTCATTCACTCTGACAATGTTGACGATGATAATGCAGTAAATAAAAAAGCACTAATAATGTCCAGTGACGTGGACCAGGTGGATTCTGGTGTGTACTCCTGGTATGTATTGTCTAGAACACGTAAACGTCAGAAGCAGCTGCAGTGAGAGAAGAGCCCTCGACATCAGGCCTGCTCTGACCACATGACTCTGAGCTCCTCCTGAGCTTTATATCTATACATCTATACTATAGATCTATACCATACTATAGACCTGTACTATACTATAGATCTATACTATACTATAGACCTGTACTATACTATAGACCTGTACTATACTATAGACCTGTACTACAGTATACTATAGATCTGTACTATACTATAGACCTGTACATCTATACTATCTATAGATGTACAGGTCTATAGTATATGTGATACCAGAGAGAGACCAGAGAGAGGCCAGAGAGAGAGAGGCCAGAGAGAGAGAGACCAGAGAGAGACTAGAGAGAGAGAGAGACCAGAGAGAGACCGGAGAGAGGCCTGTAAGAGAGACCAGAGAGAAACCAGAGAGAGACAAGAGAGAGACCAAAGAGACCAGAGAGAGACCAGAGAGAGACTAGAGAGAGAGAGACCAGAGAGAGACCAGAGAGAGACCAGTCCTTGGTGTGGAATCAGCTGAATTTATTTTTGATCTGTCTGTGGATCTGAAGAGTCCTTTACTTTGACACGAGGGAGGTCTGCAGTCGACAGGTCCTTTCACTGAACACACCAACCCCAGACCCTCGGACCCCAGACCCTCGGACCCCAGACCCTCGGACCCCAGACCCTCGGACCCCAGACCCTCGGACCCCAGACCCTCAGACCCCAGACCCTCGGACCCCGACACTCGGACTCCGTCTGGACTCTGCGGCTGAACCCTGTATGAAACTGGAAACTCATTTGGATTTTGTTTTTGTTTTTCATCTAAAATACTTTGGACTTGGAGCCGTTTCAGGCGATCGACCTCAACTGGAAGACTCTGCTCACGTCTGCAGTAAGTTATTTATTTATGATGTAGAAGTTTCCATAGATGTCGATCCATCATCATCTGGGCTGCTCCGACCAAGTTCCTCTGATAGAAAACACAGACCCTTTGGTTCAAAGGAGAGGCTGAAGTCCAACGATGGAGAGTGCTGGATCAGAGGGACCTCCCAGACCTCCCAGACCTCCCAGACCTCAAAGACCTCACAGAACTCAAAGACCTCACAGACCTCAAAGACCTCACAGACCTCAAAGACCTCAAAGACCTCACAGACCTCAAAGACGTCACAGACCTCCAAGACCTCACGGACCTCACGGACCTCACAGACCTCACCGACCTCACAGACCTCACAGACCTCAACAACAACAACAACTTATTCTTAGCCCTAAATCACAACAGCATCATCTCAGAGACTTAACAAAGCCATTAAAATCACCAACACAGATCAGAGAATCAACAGAAAATGTCATAGATGTTGATAAATGTTAAAGTGTCCTGGATCATCACAGTCCTTCTAGTTGGACACTAACTGTCCAACGGACCCTCCTGCATCAGAGGAAAAACTCACAAAAACCCAGTGGGAAAAAAGTGAGAAACCTCGGGGAGACCCACATTTGAGAAAGGGATCCGCTCCTACACGGACGGACGGGCTGTAGATCCAGGACCTAAGCTACAGAACGTGGACCAATGCCACGCAGCGGCCGCAGGACGTGGACAGGTCCGGTACAGGACTGAAGTGCTCCCAGGCGGGTCGGGCAGGGCAGTCCGCAGGTGTAGATGGAGGAGGCCAGGCTCAGAGATCCCGTCATCATACCATGGAACAGACAATGGGACAACGGGTGAATAGCAATGAACACACTACAGTCAAAATCTTAATAATGCAGATAGATAGAGTAGGAAGGAGGAGAGGATAGTGCTGTTACCATGCTTCTCCAGCAGGGGGCTCCATATGCAGCTTGACTGACAGTCTGAGGAGTTTAGCCTTCCCTGAGTCTTAGCTTCCTGACCATATGCTAAACTAAAGAGGACTGTTTTAGCCTAGAAACAGCAGCAGCCACAGCTAGGCTAGCCCAGGCTACAGCACCAAAGACTCGTGGATTACACACCAAGTGTGTAAACCAAACCAGACAAAAATCCTAACCATATGCTAAATTAAGTGTTTTAAGCCTGTCCTTGAATGTAGAGACAGTGTCTGCTTCTTTAACGTGCGTGGGGAGCTGATTCCACAGTAAAGGAGCTTGGAGCTAAACGCTCTGCCGCCAACAGTGATTTTGGAGACATTAGGGACCACCAGACGTCTGGCGTTTTGTGAGCGCAGTGTTCGACTTGGTTGATACGACACTAACGTGTCTTGGAGATAGGAAGGAGCCAAGCCATTTATGGCTTTGTATGTCAAGAGAAGAATTCTAAACTTTATTCTGTACTCCACAGGAAGCCAGTGGAGTGATTTTAACACCGGAGTTATGTGCTCCCTCCTTTTGGTACCTGTTAAGATCCTAGCTGCTGTATTCTGAACGAGCTGGAAGCTCTTCAAAGAGGTTTTAGGGCACGCTGCCAATAAAGCGTTACAGTAGTCAAGTCTTGAGGTGACAAACGCGTGAATACGTTTTTCCGCGTCACTTTTAGGAAGGAAATTCCTGATTTTAGCGATGTTCCGTAAGTGGAAGTACGCCGTTTTAGTTGCTTGGCTTATATAAGCCTTAAAGGAGAGTTCTTGGTCAAAAATGACTCCAAGATTCCTCACAGTGTTACTGGGTATTATACTGACATTATCAGAGTGATTATCTGGTTAGTGAGGGAGTCACGCAGGCGCTTCGGACCGAGTAGGATCACTTCTGTCTTCTCCGGGTTGAGAAGTAGGAAGTTAAGAGTCATCCATGTTTTAAGGTCCTTTATGCAGGCACTGAGCCTTTTCAACTGATCTGCAGACCTCACAGACCTCACAGACCTCACAGACCTCACAGATATTATCCCTAATTCTTGGTCTTCAGAGATGTTATTTCAGTTCAGAGTTATTGTTCCTTTTTCTTGTGCTGCTGCTCATACTGCTCTGTACCTGATGATGCAACACTGAAAGACCCTAATGACCCTAAAGACCCCTAATGACCCTAAAGACCCCTAAGCCTAACATGTGCATTAGTCTGAATGTAAAGAGAGAGTGGTGTTGAGGCTTTGATCCAGCGTGTTCTGGTCTCGCTTCTGTCAGTGCTTTGGGTGGACCTCAGTCTGTAAAAGGTGCTACATAAATAACTTTGTAAAGTGCTTTGGGTGGACCTCAGTCTGTAAAAGGTACTACATAAATAACTTTGTAAAGTGCTTTGGGTGGACCTCAGTCTGTAAAAGGTGCTACATAAATAACCATGGCTGACATAGACCTGATGTTTATATTGATGAACAGTATTGACCGCTCTCTCCTCTTGCAGTCATGGGTCTGTGCACCAGTAAGACCAGCGTGAGCCTGAACCCCGCGGCTCACATACTGCACGCCGAGAGGGAGGACCACGACAGCCCTGAGGGGACCCCCATCCTGGAGGAGGGGGTCCTGCTGGTCCAGCCCGCCAAGAACAAGACGGAGGGCGGGACCAAGGGAGGCAGAGGAGGAGGAACTCAGCCAGCTAAAGGCTACATGGAGCTGGGGGGGAAGGAGGGGGAGGCGCAGATGTCCAGGGAGGGGGGGGAGGAGGAGGAGGAGGAGGAGGAGCAGGACGCTGTGGAGGAGATGGTGAACTTCTCCCACAGCGAGGTCAGTCTGCAGAGCGAGTTTCTGGAGCTGAGCTAGACTCTGAGGGTTTGAATCAGCTCAGTTCAGACTCTGTAAAACACTAGAGCCTCCTGATGAGGCTGTCCCTGCAGCCTTTGTCTGTAAACCACATCAGCAGAGAATGTTTTGACCAATCACAGAGCACTAAACTGTATCCAATGAATCACAGCGATGCTTCCTTGTCCTTTCTTCTTCATTCTTTTTCCTTCTGAGGATTAAAATTGACCAAAGCGACAGTAAAGACGTATTTTAATGTGTTAAATGGCAAATCAGACTTGGTCTCAATAAACGTCCATTTTGAAGGACAGGGAGGTGTTTCTGCTCAATTCAGATGCAGCCAAATCCAAGATGGCCGCCGCATGTCTCCGTGTTTTAGATTCAGGTTAAAGGAGTGAAGAGAAGGGAATGTGCGGAGTTGCAATACAAGGTTAAAGAAAAAGGATACATGAGAAAAGAGGCTGTGCTTAGTGCCTCACAGCAAGAAGGTCCTAGGATCCATTCCACCTCCAGACTTTTCTGTGTGGAGTTTGCATGTTCTCTCTGTGTCTGTGTAGGTTTCCTCCGGGTCCTCCGGCTCTGAGATCTTAGTGGGACTTTACCAGTTAAAGGTCAATATAAAAAGTATTTTCTGGAGCTACTTCCTGTTTTCTCTGATTGGTTCGTTAACGACTCTGACCCTCATGTGTTAGAAAATCAATATTTTAAAGTCATGTGACTCTGGCTGGTCTCCTGAGGCCTCCTCCGCTCACCACCGCAGCTGGCAGGAGGAGCAGGGGCTCTACTCCGAGCCTCCCACATGACAAGCCTGAGCACGATCGTCAACACTTGTGTATCACAAAGTTGTGTCTATAACACTTTTAATAAAAGTATTTGTTGTTTCCTGAGTCTGAGTGTGTTTCTTCTGCTCTACACAAACACAAAGGTTCCCTTAAAGCTCAGGGACCTGACTTTGAAGCTGCAACAAGTTACATGTAAATGGTACCAGCCACCACTCACTCAGCCAATCACCAATCAGCCAATAACCACTCAGCCAATCACCAATCAGCCAATAACCACTCAGCCAATCACCAATCAGCCAATCACCAATCAGCCAATAACCAATCAGCCAATCATCAATCAGCCAATAACCACTCAGCCAATCACCAATCAGCCAATAACCAATCAGCCAATAACCACTCAGCCAATCACCAATCAGCCAATAACCAATCAGCTAATCATCAATCAGCCAATAACCAATCACCAATCAGCCAATCACCAATCAGCCAATCATCAATCAGCCAATAACCAATCACCAATCAGCCAATCACCAATCAGCCAATCATCAATCAGCCAATAACCAATCACCAATCAGCCAATCACCAATCAGCCAATCATCAATCAGCCAATAACCAATCACCAATCAGCCAATAACCAATCACCAATCAGCCAATAACTTTCTAACATGATAGAGACTGTCACATTACACCGGTTTTAAAATTGCTGCATTGGCTCCCTGTGTGTTTCAGGATCGATTTTAAGGTTCTTTTAATGGTTTTTAAATGTCTTAATGGTCTTGGGCCTTCTTATCTTTCAGATTTGCTTTTATCCTATGAACCTTCCCGGCCCCTGCGCTCCTTCGGCAGCAGACTCCTAACCATCCCCAAACTCAGGACACACACTCACGGCGAGGCATCTTTCCCGCACTACGGCCCCCGTCTCTGGAACAGTCTGAGGAGGAGCTCAGGGCCGCAGAGAACGTTCATATTTTTAAGAGTAGGCTCAAGACGCACCTTTTTAGATTAGCTTTTGATTACTTTTTACTATTTGATTTTATATATTCTATTTATCTTTTATTATTTATTATATTGCTATTGCTTTTATTCATGTATTGTGTGAAAGTTTCTTTTAGTCTCACATTTTAGTGTTTTACTTATTGTATTGTTTTTAGTGTACCCAGTGTTTCCTCTGGAGGAGCCCTCTGCACTGGGAGCAGTGGTCGGTGTGGCTGCGGGGGTCGGACTCTTGGACCTGGTGGGGGTCTGGGTCTCCTCTAGATCCTGTGTCGTCCCCTGTGGCTACAGGCGGCTCTCTGCTCTATAGAAGGTCATATATATAAGTTAATGTATAGAAGGTTATATATGACAGCCATGAGGTATGATGTTGATAGTTTCTGTGACTCTGCCGCCCTCTGCTGGTGGAGACGGACACTGCGGCCTATTAAACAGTCCTCAGACTTTATTGTTATTCTTACTTGTTTATTCTGCTAAAGTCAGATGTTGTGTTTTATCTGTACAGAGTTATTGTTCATTGATCTGCTGTGAGCTCCTCATGCTCCTGCCCCTGCTGGTGCAACACTGACATTTCCATCATACATCATTATAAAGGATACATCTTATTCCTTACTTAGTTTTTGATGGTGTCCCAGAAGGCCCCAAACCTTTCTCTAAAGCAGCTGCAGTCAGATGTTAAAGTCCTGGTCTGAGTCTGGGTCTGGGTCTGAACCTGACTCTGGGTCTGGGTCTGGGCCTTGGTCTGAGTCTGAGTCTGTCTGGGCCTGGGTCTGAACATGACTCTGGGTCTGGGTCTGGGTCTGGGCCTTGGTCTGAGTCTGAGTCTGGGCCTGGGTCTGAACCTGGCTCTGGGTCTGGGTCTGGGCCTTGGTCTGAGTCTGGAACTGGGTCTGAACCTGACTCTGGGTCTGAGTCTGGGTCTGGGTCTCCACAGAGAGCAGCTCACACAGGTCTCTTTCTGAACCTCATCCATTCCTTGTGCTTCATCCGTTGCCGGGTCGCGTGGGCAGCAGTCTAAGCAGAGACTTCCTCCAGCTCATCCGAGGGGACCCAAGGCGTTCCCAGGCCAGCTGAGAGACATAGTCCCTCCAGCGTGTCCTGGGTCTTCCCCGGGGCTTCCTCCCTCTGTGTCCTGGCTCTTCCCCGGGGCTTCCTCCCTCTGTGTTCTGGCTCTTCCCCGGGGGCCTCCTCCCTCTGTGTCCTGTCTCTTCCCCGGGGCCTCCTCCTCGTGGGACCTCCCCAGGGGGCCGTCCAGGAGGCATCCGGAACAGATGAGCCACCTCAAATGGCTCCTCGCTACGTGGAGGAGCAGCAGCTCTACTCCGAGCTCCTCTTGTGTGATCAGGGAGTGTAGGATCAGGAAGAGTAGGATCAGGAAGAGGAGGATCAGGAAGAGAAATAGAGCTATATCTAACCTAACGTAACATATGAGTCCATCCATCCATCCATCCTTTTTCTTCCCCTTAATCCATTTCTGGGTCGGGGGGGTGGCAGTCAGAGCTGCACCCAGTCACAAAGCACCAGCCCCTCACTGATCCTCCTGCAGGTGGTGAGTCCACAGGAGCTTTCAGTGGGGGCTTAACATATGAGTCAATGAACCAAAAGGTAGTCTTGGTCCTGGCCAGTCCCAGGCCCAGTCCCAGTTCCAGGCCCAGGGCCAGTCCCAGTCCCAGTCCCAGCCCCAGGCTCAGGTCATGTGAAAGTGACCTTAGCACAGGAGGACTTTGTTTCAATGTTATCAGAGGATTTGGTGCAAGATATTCAAACAGGAATTTTGCCATAACAGGACCTCTCCACCTGGAGAGGACCTGGACCTGGAGAGGACCTGGACCTGGAGAGGACCTGGACCTGGAGGACCTGAAGAGAACCATGAGAGCAAACAGGAGAGATAGAACCCTGTGGTCTCTGAACCGGACCCGCTCTGGCTCTTTTCTGTGGTCTCTGAACCGGACCCCCCTAGAAATTCTGTCCATAAAGACAGTGAACAGAACCTTGACAAAGGGCAGCCCTTTGACAAAGGCCAACATCAGGAACAGGTCTGACTGATGCTGATGCGAACCGTCACGAGCTCTGGGCCAGACAGGTCTGGGTACTTTACATGTTTATTAAAAACAACAAAACATAGATAATAATGAAGAATGAGCTGTGTATGTGTGTGTGTGTGTGAAACCAGTGTGTGTGTGTATGTCTGAGTGTGAAACCAGTGTGTGTGTGTGTGTCTGAGTGTGAAACCAGTGTGTGTGTGTGTGTCTGAGTGTGAAACCAGTGTGTGTGTGTATGTCTGAGTGTGAAACCAGTGTGTGTGTGTGTGTCTGAGTGTGAAACCAGTGTGTGTGTGTATGTCTGAGTGTGAAACCAGTGTGTGTGTGTGTGTCTGAGTGTGAAACCAGTGTGTGTGTGTATGTCTGAGTGTGAAACCAGTGTGTGTGTGTGTGTGTCTGAGTGTGAAACCAGTGTGTGTGTGTATGTCTGAGTGTGAAACCAGTGTGTGTGTAATGTCTGAGTGTGAAACCAGTGTGTGTAATGTCTGAGTGTGAAACCAAAATGACAAAGAAACAATAATCCAGCACCTGGAGGGAGCAGAGAGACAGATTATATAAACGCTTGTTTTGTTAAAACACAATGTCCGTAATTCTTCATCAGACGTTTATGCTTCTTTCCAAGTAACAGCAAAACTTATTTACACACATACTGCATATACAGTATATTTCAAAATTTATATTTAAATGCATTTTCCCGAAGTTTTGGTGTGTACCGCAAAGAATTATGGGCAATATCCTTCGCCAGAGTGCGCATAGATGCAGGCTACGGCAAAGTGTGGATCGGGGGCGCACAGGGGGCGGGGCCAAAGACCTCCCTGGAGAATTGGGACACCCTACGCACTCGCACCCTTTATCGGGAACGCGCAATTGAGGGGCGCGAGGGTGGAAGTGCGAGTATTGGGACGGGGCCATCAATACTCAGATGAAACACCCATGTGTAACACACAAGTGTGCCCGATCACTGGGTCCTCCCTGTCTGAGAGGGAACCACCCCTGTCAGGCAGGGAGGGGCCATGACAGAACGCAGCTCTGGCTCCGGTCATACAGGGACCAAACGGCCTTCAGCAGAGGACCCCGGGCCCCGTACTCCCGGAGAACCCCCAAAGGACACCCCGGGGAACACGGTCAAACGCCTGCTCCAAATCCACAAAGCACATGTGGACAGGTTGGGCGAACTCCCATGAACCCTCGAGTATCCGATGGAGAGTGTAGAGCTGGTCCAGTGTTCCGCGACCGGGACAAAAACCACACTGCTCCTCCTGAATCCGAGATTCAACCAGGATTCAGGATTAAATCAGGAGTGTGATCCCACGATAATTGGAACACACCCTCCGGTCCCCCTTCTTGTAGAGAGGGACCACCACCCCGGTCTGCCACTCCATTGGCACTGCCCCTGATTGCCACGCGATGTTGCAGAGACGTGTCAGCCAAGACAGTCCCACAACATCCAGAGACTTTAGATAATCAGGACGGATCTCATCCACTCCCGGAGCCTTGCCACCATGGAGGCTGCCAACCACCTTGGTGACCTCTGCGAGGGAGAGGGAAGTATCCGCCCCAACATCCGCAGCCTTTGCCTCCGGGACGGAGGACATGACGGGGGGATTGAGGAGAAACTCGAAGTATTCCTTCCACCGCCCGACAATATCTCCAGTCGAGGTCAGCAGCTCTCCACTCGCACCATACACGGTGTTGGCAAAGAACTACTTCCCCCTCCTGAGGCGCCGGACGGTTTGCCAGAACCTCTTCGAGGCCGACCGATAGTCATGCTCCATGGACTCTCCGAACTCCTCCCAGTCCCGGGTTTTTGCCTCTGCAACAGCCTGGGCCGCGGCACGCTTGGCCTGCCGGTACTGGACAGCTGCCTCAGGAGTCCCACGAACCATCATTGCTCGATAGGACTCCTTCTACAGCCTGACAGCATCCCTTACTGCCGGTGTCCACCACCGGGTTCTACTGCCACCGGGAGCAGCACCAGAGACCAGCTGCCGTCTGCCATGCTGGGCGACGTGACTGTTATCATTGTAGTGCTGTCCATGGTGGGTTTTGGACTGCACTTTGTCTTACTCGTCACCCGAGACCTGTGTACCATGGGAGACCCTACCAGGAGGATAAAGACCTGTGTACCATGGGAGACCCTACCAGGAGGATAAAGACCTGTGTACCATGGGAGACCCTACCAGGAGGATAAAGACCTGTGTACCATGGGAGACCCTACCAGGAGGATACAGACCTGTGTACCATGGGAGACCCTACCAGGAGGATACAGACCTGTGTACCATGGGAGACCCTACCAGGAGGATACAGACCTGTGTACCATGGGAGACCCTACCAGGAGGATACAGACCTGTGTACCATGGGAGACCCTACCAGGAGGATAAAGACCTGTGTACCATGGGAGACCCTACCAGGAGGATACAGACCTGTGTACCATGGGAGACCCTACCAGGAGGATAAAGACCTGTGTACCATGGGAGACCCTACCAGGAGGATAAAGACCTGTGTACCATGGAGGCCCAGGACCATGGGAGTCAAAGCTAAAGTATAACAGATGTTCCTAATGTTGATGTTTGTGTTGGTCTTGAATCTTTCTTTAGTAAAAACCCAGAAATGTTTGAATAAAGGTCAGAGACATTTATTTGCAGTAAAACCACATTGGAATACATGTACAAGAGTCCCGTGTGCAGCAGACAAGTACATGAATACATGAATGTATAAATATTAAGTTAAAACAGTTAAAAAGTAAATCTCTTTCTTCAACAAAGACATAAAAACATAATAAATAGTGACATCACAGACTGAAGTAAAAATCATAAATATAAAATAAATACTGTTTGTTAAACATGTTTTAAATAAGACACTGTTATAAAGTTATAAAGTAGTTAGAGATCTTAGAGATGTTAGAGCTGCCTCCTCTGCTCCTGACCGCTGTGGATCCATTGTTTGGTTTGTTGCAGAAACGAGAAAAACGACTGAGCAGAAAAACTGAAGAGACATCGAGGGTTGACAGATGACAGGTCGTTCTGAAACACAACAGCACCATGAACACAACAGCACCATGAACACAACAGCACCATGAACACAACAGCACCATGAACACAACAGCACCTAACATACAAAGCCATAAATGGCTTGGCTCCCTCTTATCTTCAAGACACGTTAGTGTCGTATCAACCAAGCCGAGCGCTGCGCTCACAAAACGCCAGACGTCTGGTGGTCCCTAAGGTCTCAAAAACCGCTGCTGGCGGCAGAGCGTTTAGCTCCAAGCTCTATTGGAGCTAAACATTCAAGGACTCTACATTCAAGGACAGGCTTAAAACACTTAATTTAGCATATGGTTAGGATGTTGGTCTGGTTTGGTTTACACACTTGGTGTGTAATCCACGAGTCTTTGGTGCTGTAGCCTGGGCTAGCCTAGCTGTGGCTGCTGCTGTCTCACTTCCTTTCAGATACGGTCTCTTTATTCAAAGCTAGGCTAAAACAGTCCTCTTTAGTTTAGCATATGGCTAGGAAGGTAAGACTCAGGGAAGGCTAAACTCCTCAGACTGTCAGTCAAGCTGCATATGGAGCCCCCTGCTGGAGAAGTATGGTAACAGCACTATCCTCTCCTCCTTCCTACTCTATCTGCATTATTAAGATTTTGACTGTAGTTTGTCCATTGCTATTCACCCGTTGTTCCACTGTCTGTTTCAAGGCGCGAAAACGGGACCTCTGAGCCTGGCCTTCTCCATCTACACCTGTGGACTGTCCTGCCCAACCCGCCTGGGAGCGCTTCACCAGAGGGGAGGGGAGGGGGTGGGGGGAGACCAACCTTGCAGTGGCTCTGGGTGAAGAGCAGTTTGTCGATGACTTTCTGGACGGACCGTGATCTGTCAGGCAGCGTGTGGTTCACGGCCCTCAGGCCATAGATCAGGAACGACGGGAACTCACACTTCTGCAACAACAGTTAAAGCTCAGGTACCTGAACTGTGTGTACAGTAGTATTGTGTGTACAGTAGTATTGTGTGTACAGTAGTATTGTGTATACAGTAGTATTGTGTGTACAGTAGTATTGTGTATACAGTAGTATTGTGTGTACAGTAGTATTGTGTATTCAGTAGTATTGTGTATACAGTAGTATTGTGTGTACAGTAGTATTGTGTGTACAGAAGTATTGTGTATACAGTAGTATTGTGTATACAGTAGTATTGTGTATACAGTAGTATTGTGTGTACAGTAGTATTGTGTATACAGTAGTATTGTGTGTACAGTAGTATTGTGTGTTCAGTAGTATTGTGTATACAGTAGTATTGTGTGTTCAGGAGTATTGTGTAGACATTAGTATTGTGTGTTCAGTAGTAGTGTGTATACAGTAGTATTGTGTGTACAGTAGTATTGTGTATACAGTAGTATTGTGTATACAGTAGTATTGTGTGTTCAGTAGGATTGTGTGTACAGTAGTTTTGTGTATACAGTAGTATTGTGTGTACAGTAATATTGTGTATACAGTAGTATTGTGTGTACAGTAGTATTGTGTATACAGTAGTATTGTGTGTACAGTAGTATTGTGTATACAGTAGTATTGTGTATACAGTAGTATTGTGTGTACAGTAATATTGTGTATACAGTAGTATTGTGTGTACAGTAGTATTGTGTATACAGTAGTATTGTGTGTACAGTAGTATTGTGTATACAGTAGTATTGTGTGTACAGTAGTATTGTGTATACAGTAGGATTGTGTGTACAGTAGTATTGTGTATACAGTAGTATTGTGTGTACAGTAATATTGTGTATACAGTAGTATTGTGTGTACAGTAGTATTGTGTATACAGTAGTATTGTGTGTACAGTAGTATTGTGTATACAGTAGTATTGTGTGTACAGTAGTATTGTGTATACAGTAGTATTGTGTGTACAGTAGTATTTTGTTCAAAACAAAGACATGAAACCAAACTCACTGTGTTTATGTTGAAGCAGTGACACTTTGGATCCTGAAGAAGAAGAGACTATTAGAGTACTGTAGTACTGTAGTACTGTAGTACTATAGTACTATAGTATAGTACTATAGTACTGAAATACTGTAGTACTGTAGCAATGTAATACTGTAGTACTGTAGCAGAGAACCCAGAGTGAGTGAAGCCACAGAGACATGAACAGAGGAAGTGGTGAAGCTGAGGTCAGCGACAGCCGAGACAGAAACTCATTTCTAAGTTTTTCTCCAGAAGCAAAAGACACAGACTCAACAGAGTCACAGAGGATCACAGAGGATGAGGATCACAGAGGATCACAGAGGATCACAGAGGATCACAGAGGATGAGGATCACAGAGGATCACAGACGATGAGGATCACAGAGGATGAGGATCACAGAGGCATGAGTTTGAAATAAGAGTGTTTTGACAGAAGGGTCAGGGGTGCATTAGAGGTGCCCTTTAACGTCAGTAAAACAGAAACTCACAGTGATGTGCGGAGCGTCGCAGTCTGACGGACAGTGCTGGGAACATGAGGAAGACACAAATACTTTAGATCAAAATGGATTTATTATTAATAAATAAATTGGAAGATTTTAGTCTGAAGTTAAATTAATGAAAGCATTAAGTTCAAGATCATCTACAATCACATGGATCATGTATGAGCCTAAAAACAGCAACACGTAAAACCACGACATGTGTTCAATAAATAAAGAACATTTGATCTGTTTTTCTGTGAAATGGACGAAACAAACCAATGAAAGTTACTACAGAAAGATCCAGGTCCGACCTGAGGCTGTGTTTATCTCTAAAACTCTAACATTCAACATGTTTCTTTCTTTGTGCAGAAAGTTAAACAAACTCACCTTGAACGTGGCGTTCAGATCCGCCACCAGTCGATCAAACTCGCTCCACCTTCTGCACGCCTGCTGCCGGGACGCCACGCTCCACGGCACCAACGCCACGAGGACCAGGACCAAAGAACCCAAAGAAGAAGCCATGTAGACCAGAGGAGACCAGAGGAGACCAGAGGAGACCAAAGACTGACCCTGAGCTCTGCATGTTTGGCCGATGGCAGCTCAGGCCTTTTAAAGCTGGGGACCCCGGTGGATCACGGTGGAGCTGGTATGTCGCTGGTGTGTCGCTGGTGTTTCGCTGGTATTTGGAAAGTCCAGCCCTTTGATCCATGACTTATTATTATTATTATTGTGTCATTGTTAAACTGAAAAGGGGAAAGAATTGCACTTTCTCTAATCACAGTTGATCAGGAGGAGTATGAGTGGCAGGGTGCTTTCAGTGAGCGCCGCTGTGATGTGGTCAGAGGGCGATGGCTTAAGATTGTGTTTTAAATTTCTGACGTTTTTATTTGTACCTTTGACTTAAAATGTTGATGCACCAGCATCAGTGATGAGATCTGTGGGCAAAGCCACAGCAGGGAGAGGAAACTCAACTCTCTCTGTCAGACCAATCACTTTTAATTATGATGGCAGATAATACATACCTGCCTGGAGCTAAGCAGAGCAGGGCCTGGTCAGTACTGGGATGGGAGACCTCTGGGAACAGCAGGTGCCACAGTGGGGGGTCTGCGGCTGCAAAGTGCCAAACTGCAAAGTACCGAGACACTTCCCCCACAATAGAATGAGTCTGGTGTGTGTGTGAGTGGTTGGTGGTGGTGGGACTTTTGCCTCGCTTCTGCCAGTGTGCCCCAGGGCAGATGTGGCTTCAATGATAGTTTTTCGCCACTGTGTTTGGAGTGAATGAATAATGACATGTGAAGCATCGTTGAGAGTCAATAATCCGCTATATGAATTATTATTATGATGATTATTATTGAACACTGTGGCTGGGTCTTTGGTCCACAGGGATCAGGATCCGCAGAGTCCTCAGACCCTGCAGATCCCAAACACTCAGATAGAAAGTGAGTCTTTCTGTGACGCTCTCACATGAGCTCAGCCTGCTGCCGTGTGACATCACAGAGTGGCGTCACAGTGATTTCCCACCAGTGCGGAGTCCCAGGGCTGCCCCCCCCTGAGCCTGCAGCTGTGGGCAGAGTCTGCGGCGAGATCTAAGTCAGACTCCACCACTTCAAACACCACCAGCAACAGTCAGAGCCTCCAGAACCATCTGTCCCCAGTTCTCATTAAAGATGTTGGGGACAGAACAATGCAACAAAATTACAAGAAAAACAAGTTGGGGATACATGTGTTTGTAGATTTGAGCTGAAAGATACTAGATAAATACTTAAAATACCCGCTGTAATGAGGAAAACCCTTTTATCATTCGTTCCACTGGCAGAAAATAGTAAGTCTTGCCTTTCAGGTGAACAAACTTTTAAAAGTGTTTTATTTTATATTTTACACACAGATATGAATATAAGAAACATTAACACATCGTTCTAATTCTATCCTTGATTATGAAGATAATACCAATATTAACAGTAGATATATATTTATATAAAATACTTTTTTGCCCCACTGTATATATATATATATACAGTGGGGCAAAAAAGTATTTAGTCAGCCACGGATTGTGCAAGTTCTCCCACTTAAAGAAGCTATACCCAATTTTTTTTCTAAGTAGTTGATAAAAATGCTTTTTACTACATACAAGTTGTATCATAATACATAATTTAATTGAAAACTTGAGGTCATTGATTCAGCTGTGTAAGAATTACAGGCAGTGAAAAGTGCTGAGTAGAGTCTGAGCGGGACGTTCTCCTCCGCTCACAGAACGAGCAGCGAACAGCGTCCTCTACAGCGCTGCTCAACACCAGGGCTGCGACTTCAACATTTGAATAGAATTCTAAAATTAAAAATATTTATATAGTCAAACATATATTAGACAGCCCTTAAAATTCGAAATGTATTCAATAACTGCAAATAAAATAGTTAGCTCCCAAAGGTTCCACTGGGACGTGCTAGGCAGGTAACAGCTAAGCTAGCTAGCTCCCTGGAACTACATGTTAATGGTAACTTCCGGGTTTTTCGCAATCGCTTTTTGTCACATTAAAATGGTAATTTGGTCATGAAAACGATAACAAGAAATTCTGAAAAAGTCCGTGCATGTGTGTTAAGGATGTATATGTATACTGTATTGTCTGATTAATGTTTAACGGTGTTGATTGATTCTGTATTTGTTTATTGAGCGTGGCTAGCTCCGCTAGCTTCTCTCGTTGTACTTGCGGAGTAATGGCAGTATTTTACACACCTGAATTACAAACAGAGATTGCATTGTCAAAGGGCAGCGTCATTATTGATTTGAGAGTTCTGTTATCAAGAAAAAATGATCGGTAGAATTACATTCAAGTCCATGGAGTGTTCTGCTGCTGTGAGGAGCTGTATAATAAATTATAATTAAATATTAGAATATATTCTAACGTTTTAATGAATAAATTTGGATGCAAAACTAGCAGTATTCTTTTATCTATATATTGTGTTAACATTTTGTGACTTCAGGAGGGCTATCTTTGGCAGGAATGTTGGGTAAAAACATTTTTTAATATGAATTCATTTATGAGAGGTGCACTAACCTAACCATTAACTACTTGCTACTTGCTAGTATCCATAAACTGATGTTTTAGCGTGTTTTTGAAACCCCGAATCTGTGAACAGACTCCTCGGGTTAGATTTTCAGAGCAAGCAACTGGACAGCAGGATTAAAAATGTAAATACTTAATTAATATAGCTTATTTTCCACTTGTGTATTTATAAGACTAGTAACGTGCATTCCCAACAGTTGATCTACCAATGTGACCGTTAAAAACAGACAAATTTGGCCTTTTAATCCGTAAAACAGAGAGTGAAAATCAGAGCTCTCCTGTCGTCAGAGCGTCGCCTAAGCACTTCATGCAAGCATTTCCGTAAAAAGCAAACTTCAAAACATGATTACTCAATTAAATTAGCATATTTATGAACATTTTTTTTGCACAAATTAACATTAACATGTGTAGAGTATGCTTACCCACAGCTTTCCCGTTGCCGTTGTTGCAAACGTCTGATAAAATCAAAACATGACAAAAAAGGTGCGCGTGTCCGACTCAGGATAATAGCATTTCAAATTGTCCGACTCAAGGTGAGTGACTCAAACATAAACTTAACCTAAATCCATCAGATCCAAATGTTCCTAAAATGTTCTACTAATGTTAAAAGTTACTTCTGGGTTTACTGCCATCGCTTTTTGACTCAGTATTTTTGTCATGAAAATGTGAACAGATATTTCTGAAAACCTCTGTGTGTTAAGAATGTTTATGTATAATGTATTCTCACATGTTATTGATATTAGTGTTTTTGAGCGTGGCTAGCTCGTTAGCTTCTCTCAGAGACAGTGTTATTGATACATGTGCTAATGAGCGTGGCTAGCTCGTTAGCTTCTCTCAGAGACAGTGTTATTGATATTAGTGTTTTTGAGCGTGGCTAGCTCCGTTAGCTATGGAAGCCCGTTTCCGCCATGTAAAAAAAAAAAAAAAAAGCCTACAGAAAGTCAAAATGTTGACTTTAAAACTCAAAATGTTGACTTTAAAACTCAAAATGTCGACTTTAAAACTCAAAATTTCGACTTTAAAAGTAAAAATTTCTACTTTAAAAGTCAAAATTTCGACTTTAAAAGTCAAAATTACGACTTTAAAAGTCAAAATTACGAATTTAAAAGTCAAAATTTCGACTTTAAAAGTCAAAATTACGAGTTTTCAACTGCGCATGTGAAAACTCGTATGTGTTGTTGTCTGGAACGGTCTCTGGTCCTCCCTGTTATAGATCCATGACCATGGGTCATCCCTGTTATAGATCCATGACCATGGGTCATCCTCTACCTGCAGATTATGTGAAGATATTTCCTACAGACAGTGACCACATCCATGAAGTAGCAGCAATAATGTTGTGGTAGTAATCGCGTTAAAATGCAAACGGTCTCTCCGTTTATGATTAGAATCCGCTTCAGAAGCCTCTATTTAGTTTATCCTAAACGGACTGTGGAAGATTAATAATAAAACACATGCGGCTGTTCAAAGTCATTGAGCATCAACTGGTGACATCTGGTCAGTATCACGGCTATCGATGGATGCACCAGAAATGCACTGAATGATATTGTTACTGACAGAGACCGTTCACAATGACAGGACAGTGAGGGAGGTCCACAGACAGAGGCAGGAGAACCACAGACAGAGGCAGGAGAACCACAGACAGAGGCAGGAGAACCACAGACAGAGGCAGAAGAACCACAGACAGAGGCAGGAGAACCACAGACAGAGGCAGGAGAACCACAGACAGAGGCAGGAGAACCACAGACAGAGGCAGAAGAACCACAGACAGAGGCAGAAGAACCACAGACAGAGGCAGGAGAACCACAGACAGAGGCAGAAGAACCACAGACAGAGGCAGAAGAACCACAGACAGAGGCAGAAGAACCACAGACAGAGGCAGAAGAACCACAGACAGAGGCAGGAGAACCACAGACAGAGGCAGAAGAACCACAGACAGAGGCAGAAGAACCACAGACAGAGGCAGGAGAACCACATGTAAAGAGTATGTGACGTGTGTGCGTGCATGCGGGGGTAAAGTTGTTGGCGTAAGAGCAAGAACACAGAGACATACAGGGAATAAGTGCCTTGTCTGATTATTTTATTGTGACAAAATAAAGCCCACGACTCTTTAAGCAACAATCCGGAGAAATAACTCCGCAGATAACAGTGAGGGTCTTTGAAAAGGGTTAGAAATAGATAAACCCATTATAGATGCATGAATAAAACCCTGTACTCAACACGTAGAAAGTGCATCATTTCAGCCGTGGAAACACTCGCTCCGTGTGGACCCCTCTCAGCGCCATCGTCTGGTCAGAGTGGGGTATAGCAGATTGGATTGGAACGTCTCGATGGCTCATTTTCCTTTGATTTATTATAAAAACATATTATTTGTTACTATGTCGAAATAAGAAGTAGTTTGATTTAAATGTTGTATATATGTAAATTGAATTTAACATAAATAATTAATAATAATAATAATAATAA